TATCAAAATATTACTCCAAGTCTTTCAAAGTTCATTTTAATCCTTACTAAAGTGTAAAATTGTGTTTTATACTTAAACTATTTTAAAATAATTTTACAAAGTATTTCGAGCCTTAATCGAGCCAAAAATATTTCCTTTTTAAAGGGTTTCAAGAAAAATCAGATTGTCCAAAGAAAAATCAGATTGTCCAGGGGGTAAAGATTCCCCCCCCAGGGGGTACCGATTCCCCCCTGTCTAACGGTCAAAAAATATTTCTTTTTAAAGGGTTTCAAGAAAAATCAGATTGTCCAAAGAAAAATCAGATTGTCCAGGGGGTAAAGATTCCCCCCCCAGGGGGTACCGATTCCCCCCTGTCTAACGGTCAAAAACAGATTGCACTTAAGGAACCGATTCCCCATGAGGGGCTACCGATTCCCCCACGCTCCAAGCTGTTTTATTAATTGTTTCTCATCGCAAACGGCTCCAAAACATCCCCAACGACTATATACGACTTCAAACACATTCCAAGCTTTAAATACATGCTAAAGACACTTGAAGAAGCAAGAGAACAACTATCCAAGCAATCAAACACAAGAGAAGAGTTTTTCAATCTTATTTCATCTTTCTCTTGTAAATATTTTGTTCTTGTGAGCTTAATTCTTGTAAACACCTACCTTAGAGAGGGTTTCTTGGTTTACATTTTATCCTTTGTAAAGGGGAAAGGTTCTAGCTAATCCCGTGTAAAATCTAGGGAAAGGTTCTAGTTTAGCCCGGAAAAACTAGGGAGTTTGTATGGTTACTCTTTATCATAAAAAGAAAGAACAAATTAGTGAATTTGTTGGAAAATCCTTAGTGAGGAGCTAAGGTAGTGGACGTAGACTTTGGTTGAGAAAGTCGAACCACTATAAATCGTTGTGCAATTCTCTATCTTTCAATCTCCTTACTCCCTAAACACAAAATCGTTCTGACCCCTCTTTACAAACTATTTCGGTTGTCGATTCGAGCTTCTGAAAATCCTAACACAAAGGATGTCCCATGTACATGAAAAATGAAATGGCAATTTGACGAGAAATATTGCTTTTCACTAGTATTAGTAGGGGGAAAAGGGAACATGCCTCTTGGGACAGTTTCAGTATCGTTGCCGAGAATGTTAGTCGTATTATACTAGGTCAAAAAGCGAGAATCGATGAAAATGACTTCACTTCTACGACTCCAAGCCCGATCCTGACGAGTCTATGACTTCCCTTGATGATATCTGACGGCTAAAAGGTGGTTGTCTGCTATTTTTGAGTACTAAATATGGGTGCAGATATATGTACAAGTTTACACAATCGAACAAGTAATACAGTGATGAGTGAGTATCGTCTCCACAGGGATTGGAGGAAGTAGATAAGTTTAATCAAAGCGCTTTACTATGTCACCTAAGTAAAGTTAGTGATGTTATTTGCAAATCGAAATGTTGTGGCAAAATGAAATGGATGTTGTGGAAATTGTCTGATGGTAATATGGTAGTAAATTGAGATGTTATGGCAAATTAAAATGTGTTGAGTGCAAACAAATGAAAATGTAAAGGCAAAATAAACTGTAAATACTGGATTTGCTTATAAAGACTTTAGACTCCTCACTTGACAAGCTACTATGGGAATGAATAATAGAAGTCACTTAGGAAATTTAAGTCTACTTGTCAGAATGGTCTTACTTCTATTATTCATCTACCCGACAGAGTTTACTAAGGGTGCCCTATGCTATCTCTAGTCAAGGGACTCGACAAGATGAAAATACCTTGGCAAAAACGGTTGGCGTTAGCTACTGCAGAGATCCTATTGGTCCAGATAATAGGATATGTCTCGGTGATACCTTTTGCGGCAGCATTAACATCTAACCTATCGCTTATGCACAACTCTTTTTAGTCGAATGAAATCCTAGCTTTATCTATAAGGTGGATTAGTCCTAGTTACTATCTAGAACCCCTTGCTTATGTGGTTCCTCCCTAGTTTCTCTCGAATACTAAGGATGTGCTACTTAGACATTCTCTCGAACACTTAGTAATCACCTAAGGTGTAACACCCCCAACCCGTATCAGACCCGGATACGAGTCCAAAGTGTCACATTGACTTTTCAATCATTTATTCGTATAAAATAGTGAGTAATTCAAAAACTTGGATAACTTTTAACTTATTCAAAACGTTTACAAAATATATCAGAGTTCATACAATTTATATCTTTAGACTACATGCCAACTACACTCTATATACCGTACATATATTTTCTTATCTGACACTTGGGTAAGGAGAACTGACCTGTCTTGCTCCTCTTAGCTCTTTACTCTTTTCACTTCTGTAACCTACGTGTGAAACAATCACACGCTAAGTCGTTGACTTAGTGAGGCATAAAACATATAATAAAACTCTAACTCGTAATCATGCTTGAAAAATTTCTACTAACATATCACATACAAGCATCATACCCACATATATATATATATATATCCACGCACACATATAATTATCTTCTTCCTATCATTATCATATTATCACCTTTCATATTTCTATTCTCTTGTTCATATAATCAATTAAGCTCATATCATATATCTTATAGCATATCAATAATCACTAACACACATATATCATATACAGTACATTCCATGTTATCTCTTATGCCCATGTGCACCTGTGAGAACTGTAGATATGTGAGTCTATTGAGGTTGTGCACCACTATGCTGTCACCACAGCTCATATAAATGTCCCGAAGGACCTATCCAGAGGTCACAAAGACCCCGGTAACTATCTAGAGGTCATAAAGATCCTCGGTAACTATCCAGAGGTCATAAAGATCCTCGGTAACTGTCCATAGGTCCCGAAGAACCTAGGTAAACTGTCCATATGTTCCTTAGAACATAGGTATACTGTCCATATGTCTCGAAAGACATAGGTAAAACTGTCCATATGTTCCGTAAACATAGGTAAACCCTCGACTCTTGGCATGCCAACTATACCCCTAGCTCTCATACACATAACATGGGCATTATCATTTATAACATTTCATATCACTTGTTCTTTCTCTTCTGTCCATACCACATGTATGTGTAACCATATATTTCATATCATATCACATGTATCACATATTGCATATTCATGTAATCATATAGCTCATGTCACATGGCTTATATCATTTCTCATATTCATATATATATATAGTTCACTTTCACATATCACATTTTCCTTTTCTCCTATTTTTCATATCATGTCTCTTATAACCACATATGTCTGTCTTATCTCATATCCTATAATTCTTTAGCTTATATCTTATATCACATGTTTATATCATATAACTTATGTAATCACATATACTATTTATACTAGTTCACATAGCTTATTTCACTAACATGTATTCACACATTCATGTAACATATGCAATAATATATATCACATACACTCATTTATATAAGCTCTACTATGGAAAATAGACTTACCACTATTCCCATAGTATATCCCATAGACATGTAACTTTTCATGCATGTTCATTTCAAGCATATCAAATAATGCATATGGTATGAATTCATATCATGTTTCATAATATTGAATGAATCATGTATCAAAATATTAAATCTAGACTTATCGCAAGTCTAGAACTGAATATACTAACATAATCATGCTATGCATATGCACTCACCTGGCCTCACTAGTCCATTTCAATCTCTTATCTTCCCTTTTTATCGATCTTACTTGTCATGATTCGGAACTCGTTTAGGCTCTGAAGCTAATATACATTTTAAGACAATTATTAGATACCTACACTTTGTAATTGGATACTAGCAACTTAAACGAACTTATTAAATCCATATTCCACAATTTCCTTTAGGGGAATCGGTTTCCCTACTATGGGGGTATCGATTCCCTACAGACATTCTGGAAATGTGTTCGTTTGAAGGGGTATCGGTTCCCCTTGAATGGGTACGATTCCCCTTGCCCAGAAATCATATTTTCAACCCAAAATTACTTCATTTCCACTCAAACACTTCATATATCATCCCCTTTTCATTCTTAACTCTAGTACACATACTTAAACCAATCTATATTCATTTATTTCCTCTTAAACCTCAAAATCCTATCTTCCATATGAGATTCAAAAATCATAACAAATTTTCAATGTGTTCTAATTCCAATTCTAACACTTCATACTTCTTAATTAGATTGATGACAAGTCAAATTCATCCCTAAAACTTCAACAACCATACCATATCAAAATTTCATCTTAAAACTCATATTGCAAATTCCTTCATAATTCCTTTATCTTATTGTTTAAATCCCATATAAGCTTTCCTTAAGCTTATTTAATACCCAAAGAATCAAAACTAAGCTTAAAACTTAAGAATTAACCAACTTAAATTAAACTTACCTTTTCTTTGCTCTCCCACGTATGAAGAAGAAGAAAGGAGAAGAGCACTCTGGATGGTTCTCACATATCCCACGTTTATATTACCCTTAAAAAGGAATATAAAAATCTTTCTGGTCAAATGACCATAATACCCTTAATTTCCTTTAATAATTACCAAATAACCTTCAATATATATTCAAATAATCATTGAATTCTTTCATTCTTCTACTTTAGTCACCAAATTCTGAAACTTTACAATTTGGTCCCTAACCCGGTATTGCGGATGTTACATAAGGAATGTCTACTCTCATAGCTCCTACAACCTTAAGGCATTAATATCCATATACAAAACATATTATAACATAGAAAAATAACCATTCATTAAAGAAAATCTTAAATATCCAAAATAAACTCCCACCAAATATGATTAGTTCATGGTGGGGTTTGAAATAAGCAAGCACAAAGCAAGTTAATCCATTCCTTACAGCCCATATGATAAAATATGAAAGCAAAGAGAAAAGGGAATGAGGAAAAGCCTTCGACATGCACTGCCGGAACTTCCCTCGACCACCATGAATTGTCCCAGCGAACTAGCTCCTCTCGGACGCCTAGAACGCCACTCCCTCTAGCTTGTCAACGGAGGAATGCCGCGGCAAATCGAATTGGTGGAGAACTTTTTCTCCGAATATTTAGGCTCTTGACGGCTTGTCTAAAGTTCAAAGTCTCCAAAGGGATCTTTGGATATCACCCTAAATGCAAAAGAATAGGGCTAACTCATCTCTCTTTTGTTGATGATCTCCTTATTTACTGCAAAGGAAATCCTGAATCAATTGCTGGAATCATTTATGTTTTAAACCATTTCTATTCTTTGTCTGGTCTCAAGCTTAATGTTAGCAAGACAGAACTTTTTTCTGCTGGTATTCCCTCTAGAATTCTTGAAATTATTCACAGCGTCTCAGGCTTTAGGAAAGGACAGCTTCCTGTAAGGTACTTAGGGGTTCCACTAGTCATTAAAAAGCTGCCAGAACTTGATTGCCAACCTCTACTGGACAAAATCAAACTTAAGATGTACCACTGGTCTAGCAAGCATCTTAGTTACGCTGGTAGACTTGAGTTAATAAAAACCGTTCTTCACAACGTAGCCAATTACTGGTGCAGGCAATTCATGCTCCCTCAATGTGTTATTAATTGCATTGATCAACTTTGCTCTCGTTTCCTTTGGAAAGGTACAGATCAGGCAGCTTCTAGGGCTCGAGTCAACTGGTCAAGTATTTGTTGTCCTAAATCTGAAGGTGGACTAGGACTAAAGAACTTAAAATCCTGGAACATTGCTTACATGATTCATCTCATTCGGAATATTTTGGCAGGAGAAGGATCCCTTTGGGTGGCTTGGCTGAACTGTTATATTTTCAAGAATAATTTATGTGACATGGATGCAAGTAATGCTCACAGCTGGAGTATTAAAAAGCTGTTGAAATTGAGACTTACAGCTCTTCCCATCCTGAATACTGGAACGATTTACACTAGAGATATATGGGAAGCTGTCAGAGATAGAAAAAGTAAGGTGTCTTGGCATAAAATTATTTGGTTCCCTATGCATATTCCTAAGTTTAGTATGATCTCTTGGATGGCCATCCTAGACAAACTTCCAACTAGGGATAGACTGTCAAGGATGGGTATTGTCATTGATACTCAATGTGTTCTTTGCAATGAAGCTACCGAATCCAGAAACCATCTTTTTGTAGACTGTAACTTTGCCAAATTATTGTGGAATTCTATCTTAAACTTGGCACATGTGCATAAACCTCATTTACCTTGGGAATCAATGATCGAATGGGCTTGTGTTGAATGGAGGGGAAAATCTTTAATCTCCATCTTGTTGAAAATTGCATGGACTTCCTACATCTATACGATTTGGGAGGAGAGGAATAGAAGAATTTTCAAACAAAAAGCTAGAGAAGCTGCTCATCTACTGTCACTCATCAAGGACATTGTTTGGATTCAACTTAGTGGGAAAAATATCAATAGATTATTTTAGTAACTATAATATCTGTTGTAATTGGGGTATAGACTAACCATTATTTTGTTGTAAATATTGTTTATACTCCCTTTTGGGACGATTTGTAGTATTGTTCTTCTGGATAATAAAATCTTACTTATCCAAAAAAAAGTTCAAAGTCTCCTCAAAAAGTCTGGCTTCATCTCATATTTATAGGGGAGAATGAACCTAGGGTTTTGTGTTAAAATTACCCCAGTACCCTAAAGTTCATTCCTTTTATGTGAGAGTAGGTGCAGAGATGGTAATTGTCCCATCCTGTGTGGCTGATTGCAGAAATCACGTGTAGAGAATGGCAGCTGGCCCTTACTAAAAATATTTTTTTTTCGTTTTGATCGCTCTCGAAATGCCAACTGGTTCGGCATTTGCATTCTGCTCAGCAAATCTCTTTATGTCATGACATTTCTCTTTTTTTCCTTGCTCTTAAATCATGCACATCACCAAACGAGCACCTTCTCCATAAAGCAGCACTGATTACAAAATAAAATGCCACGATAAACAAAATTCCACCAAATGCAACTATATGCTCCTAAATGCATCTATATGATCCTAAATGGGCTTTTAGACAACCAATAACTTAAGTGAAAAGGTCTCAAATATGACTTTTTTACGGAGTTATCAGTGGTGGAGGAAGATCAACAGGAAGGATGCCTTCCAACAACTTCACTACCTCTCCCATCAAAGGTTTCACCCATTCATCTGTTTGAAAGCACAAAAATGAAATTCTCAATGCTCATTCCACTTCGTCGGAATCAACTTCATCCTTCAATCTTACTTCGTCGGAATCCACTTCATCCTTCAGTCTTTTATCGACTGCGTTCTCCGGACGACCTTCCACACATTCCTTGTAAATCCAATCGAGAACATCGTCCACTTCTTTAATCCCACTAACTAATGTCAAAATCATCTTGCCAAAATCTTCAACATCTTTCTGTGCCGAAGCTCGATGGGAGGATGCTTCACAGTAAAACATCCCCTACCCGAACTCATTCACGTTGGCCTCAAAGTTTTCATTAAGGAGTACATTTTCGCATTTCAAGTTTCCATGGCATAAAAATTCTCTACACTCTGTGTGCAAATAAAGTATGGTCTTACCAACACTTAAGCTAATCTCCTTTCTTTTTCTCCAAGTAAGTCTCTCGGCCAGGGTCGGATTTTCTATGTATTTCTCCAAAGAGCCATTTTCAGCATATTCATAAACTAAATACCTGTGATCAAACTCGCAACAATAGCCCTCGAGCTTTACGAGACCTTTTTGATAAATGCTTCCGACCTTTGATACTGCAGCTCAAAATTTTCTTGATTCAATAGTTGCTTCAAGTTCTTTGACTGCTACTGGTTGTTTATCAGGCAAGGCACCTTTGAACATTTTCGGCCCGAGTTATTCGCTGAAATTCCCAGTAAGCTCCTTGATCTCGGAGAAGGATAACATGATTCAACATTTCGAACTAGGACTCGAATTAGGTAAAGAAGCCAGTCTCCTGTAAGAGTTTCTTCTTTTGTAAAGATAAAATCTCATTCCCAACTGAATCAGAATAAACACGAAAATAGTGCCTGAGGCTGCTCCAACCAGACATGGAATACAAATATTATAAGACTCCTTATGTGCTCGCATTGGTGACTTCAATGGGAAGATGGGATCAGTGGTTAAGGGGTCTGAACACCTCTTAACAAAAGAGGTCGCACTAAGAGACGGATCTGAATAACCACTGACGTACCGAGTTCTCATCGTCCTGCATTTCGCACTTCCATCGTTCCTGAAGGTTACTGCAGTGCAACTTGGGTCACTTAGGCACAAACTCTTGCATTTGTCTAGACTAGTTAGGGAGATAAAATCACGAACCGGGTAAATTCCATAAAGAAATATGTTTGCGTGCTCTATCATGACAGATCCCGATTTACAGTCATGCTGATATGAAACCAGACATTTCGAATTTGACTGCACCGTGTGATGAAATGAGCAAGCACAAAAACGAGTGCCAGACACATTAAACACGCAGATGCCTTGCTGATCGCAGGTTGCAAAGACGTTACACTGATTCTCAACGGCTTGCCAAACTGATCTCCTTCTTTGCAAACCCTCCATCCATGAATATAACCGCAAATTACCATCAACATCAAGCCGGAGGAATCTAAACCTCACTGTATCATTATGATCTTCTCCGAACACAGACCAAATAGGTCTTGAATTAGGGGCCTCAAGTTGCAGGCTTCCATCAGAAGTGACAACGGCATTGAGATTTAAATGAGAAAGCCTTTCAGTACAATAAATCAAACTGCTTTCCCACCTTAGCTGTAGCTGACCAGAAACATTCATGTAGAGGCTATATAAACTCAAAACATAATTCCGACTGGCAGCTCTCAACGTCCTAAAAGTAGAAAGTCTCTGGCCAGGAAGGAGCGTATCTGTCGGATTATCGAAGCTCTGCCAAATTACATCTTTCTTCCCATTCAGTAACACGAGATAGCCATCGTCGCGAAGAAAGGCAAACGCCACGGATAACCGGATCATCTTGCTGGTCCACACTTGTTGACCCTGCAAGCCATCAAAAAGAACCAACTCCCTATCCTCCTGAAGCTGGAAATAGGGGTTGTTACCAACAGTAACATCGCCTCCGGCAACCCAAACCACTGTCCATTTATCAACCGGAATCGACTCCTAACCGAAATGAATGCCAACACTAAACTGTTGTGGCTGATCAGGGCAGTTATAGAATCCAATTTCGAAATTACCATTAGAAGAAACCCATGAATCATTTTTCCCTGCAGAAAGTTTCGACCCCAATGGAATCTCTGAAACAGCAACCCCAAATAGAAAAGAACCAAGAGAGATGCATAGCACAAGTTCAAGCATATTGCACATGCTTTAAAGATTCAACATAAGATAATCAGTAAACCAACCACAAAAAATTGGCACTATAAACTGTCATTTAATCTCATTTAGCATATAATTAGGCTAAGATAAAGGAGGAAATTAGGCGAAGTACATAATTTTCAAGACCAAGCATAACGCAGCTCATAGAAAACTCATCCAAAGTCCTTGTACTTTTGAGAAAATGCGACCCAGACCGACATAATTACAAGATAGTATATATTCTAAGATAATTCTCAATCAATTGACATTCCTGGTGCTCGAACCCGACACCTCAATAAATAATAATAATTCTATTAGCTCCAAGCTGATTTGGTTCGTGCCAAAAACTACAACTACAAACTTCAAAAATTGTCAACCATCTATGTTCAATCAAAGCTATGGAAACCACATTTCAATGTTTATATTAGGTAAAAGCAGGCTGAAAACTTAACAATTTCAATGGATTAGAAACAAAAATCAAACAAAAACAAAAAACTTTAAGAGTTTACTACCTTCAAAGGATAAGTGAAGAGGCAATAAATTTAAGTGGGTGGCATAAAATACCACCTTGAATTGACCATAACCCCCCAAAAGGGGAGAATCCGAGGGTACCCTTTAGGGCCCTTATCAACGAATGAGCCTTAAAAACTTGAAAAAAACAACAAGAATTGAGGAGTCGTTGAATGAATATCAGAATAATAGAAAAAAATGAACTTAATAATCAAAAGTAATTTATTAATGCATGAATGAACTGTAAAGGGATTTCAGAACATGTGGTTCTTGAAGAGCATGTGGCTTAAAAAAAGTAACTTTTAAGATTTAAAGGGACTTAAATTTAGGAACATAGATATGCACTGCTGGAAAAATGCAACCATTTTCAAAGATGGAAAAATGACTTATTTTTATGGGTAAACTACATATTTAATACCTAAACTATCAATTTTAATCTATTTTAGTATTTAAACTTTAATTTTTTAAAAACCATACCTAACGTTTAGTTTTTTGTTTCATTTTAGTACCCGTCGTTAAAAACATAATGCGTTTAACACCTAAATTATCAGTTTTGATCTATTTTAGTCCCTAAATTTTATGTATGATTTTGAAAATTTTGAAAGTTTAGATACTAAAATAGATCAAAATTAATAATTTAAGTACTAAATGTATAATTTATCCTATTGTTTTTTTGAGCTGATATTTTTAAGGAAAAAATTTACTCACCTACTCCAACAATTCATTGAAAAAACTTAAGTCAAAGTTGAAATGAGTTAGGGGCCGTTTGTTTACTGCTGAATTGAACCATTTAGTGTTGAATGCTGAAGCATTCAGCGTGTTTGATTCTCACCTCTGAATGAAGACTATGTTGAATGAAACAGCAAAACACCACTGAATAATTCAGTATTGAAGTACATTCTGAATCATTAAGCACCCGGTATTTTACCATAACACCTATTTTTCACATGTTGTCTTATTAAACAATCATATCTTATAATATAATAAATCATTATAAAGATAAAAATGAAAATATTCATAATCCAGATTGCACATTCAGAACCATTATCAAACAACATGTCACATTCAAAGACAATTCATACAAAGCCTTTGAATCATTCAGAACTTAATCATTTTATTTTATCAAACAGTCCCTTAGTTTGTGATATTGATTTCTGACTTAGACATGTTAGGAGAATCTAAAGAACGATAACTGAGCTTAAGACCTAAGAAAGACTCGATAGAAAATATTATAAAAATCGTGATATTTTTTTGTTATATATAACTTAAAATGTTAATTTTGTTTTTAATCTTAAATTGAGTTATCATACGGACATGCTAAACTGCCAGGTTAATGCAAATAGGAAACGTTAGTTCCCAAAATAATGTTGTAATGCTATTATTTCCCCAAATGGGGTGTTTGCTACAGAAAACTAATATTTCCCGTCGTCTTCAGAGGTGTGGGATTCACTAACGGATCTCTCGGCGTCTTATAGTGCTGCTAAGAGTGGGAGCTGTGCATGTGGCCCTGGTTGGCAGTGGGAGCTCTGCATGTGGGGTTGTGGGAATTCACGGGTGAGCAGGGAAATATCACGGGGCGAGCAGAGTTGCATGGGGCCTGGGCGTCTGCTGAATCGTG